AGACATGACGTAGTAATTCAATAGTGAACATGTAGGAATTGTCTATGTATGTGTAGGTTTTAAGTAGTAGATACTAAAAAGCTCAGTAGTTACCCAGTAGTCATTAGGGTAGAATGATGTAGTGATTTGAGTAGGAAATATCTAATGTTCACCAGTAGTGAAACGTCCCAATTTATCACTCATTACTACTGAAATTACTACATAAATCACTCTGAGCAGTAAAACCAGTAGGTTTTGTGTAGATGTTGTGTAATAGTGATGAGTGAATCAAGACCGGGCATTCAACTCACAGTTGATACAGTTTCCGCGGTAACATGTATTTACATGACTAGATGAAATGTTGAAACTAAGTTACAAGCTACTTTCATAGCAAAGTGTTGTAGAAGAGTGTCTTATAAAACACATTCCAGACACTGGCTCTTGCTATCTTGCCATAACTGATTTGACAGCGAGATAGCTGCAGCTGGCTATCCTATCTCCAGCTAGCTAGCTGCTGTCAGCTTGGCTAAACACAAGGTCAGCGCAGGCTTTAGCCTACACATAGAACTGAATTAGCTGAACATCTTGACATGGCAAGTCAGGAGGTGAGAAGTCCTCAACTTCAAAACGTTGTTCTCTCCGTATCGAAGCTAGCTTAGCTTAACTCGCTGTACTCACTACTGCCCTTGTTTGTTGTGATTGAATGGCAAAGACACACCCAAGAAACACCCACATGAAACCACATCCCCTAGTTAACTCGTTTGCTTTCAGTCATGGCCCTAAATAATGAGCCAACGTGTATTTTCCCTGGACTTATTTTTTTCCACTACACACCCACAATGTAAACACAAGCAAAGTGTTATTTTACTTTGGGCCCAAATTCTGGTGTTTACCGCCCTTCCTTCACACACACTCTTCTGGGACCCACCTCTCACTGACATAATTTCCCCTCTCCACACAGCGAAACGTTGTCCAAACGTCCCTCAGTCAAGAGCGACTGAAGCTTAGCTTATGGCAAAGTATGTGTAATGTCTCTCAGCAGTGTGGGGTATGCGGTCCAAAATGACCACTGGTCTCTACAATTTAACCTTTTCAGGGAGCATAACAAATTTAAAAAAGGGAGAAATCTATACCTCTATTTGTGTGAATGCTCCTCCATAATGCATCACTGTTTGTGCCCTTGAAATGTAGTTCTACTGAAGGTAAATACTGCCACCTAGTGGCTCTGATCAGCTTGGTTCATAATATATATTTTATAAAGCCCTTTTTACATCAGCAGTTGTCACACAGTGCTTTACAGATACCCAGCCTAAAACTCCAAAGAGAAAGCAATACAGATGCAGAAGCACAGTGGCTGGAAAGAACTCCATATGTAATCCAATACAGTAGTCAATAATAAACTCTTTCTTGCATTTCAATACACATTTCATGTGCAGGTCTGGCTGTGGACCAGAATGACAACCCTAAATCTGAGGAAGATGGGCAGGGCTGTGTCCCAAATGGTTAAATAGGGAATAGGGTGTCATTTGGAACGCAACCCAGGTCACGTATACTTCCGACAGTCAAGAAACAACTGCCATTTTGTCCACCCTTTAGTTTTCACATTGAAAACAAACCAAATAGTCCTTTGACACATTTATTTATTGATGGCACTGAATACATTTTTGGTAAACAATTTCAGCATAAAAGACAGCTGCAATGCGTGTAAGTAAACGTTGATGGAGTTGTGGTCCTACTCTCTCTCCTAGCGAGCCTCCCTCCATATTTCCTCCTAAGAGTGTTGCCCACATCTTGCCTTCTTCTTCCCATCTTAGATAGAAGATATTTTTGTCCTCATCTTCTTTTAGTTTTCATCCCGTTGTCTCTTTCTTTGTGGATGTTATTCACATGCTTCAGTAGGTCACCTTTCTGGGTGAATCTTCTACAACATAAATGTTTTGGTCAGGTTCTCCTTGTCCTTGAAACTTTTCCCACAGTCACCACAGCTAAATGGGATTCTCCCCTGTGTGAGTCCGTATATGCGCGATTAAGGTTATCTTCTGACTGAAACTTTTTTCCACAGTCTCCGCAGCTAAATGGTTTCTCGCCTGTGTGGATCCGTTTAGGTGCTTTCAGGATTTCATTGCGATTGAAGCTTTTTCCCCATTCATCACAGCTAAATGAGTTCTACCCTGTGTGAATCATCATGTGCTTGGACAGATCTTCTTTGGGTTTGAAGGTCTTGCCACAAATGGGGCAGGGGTACGATTTCCCAAGAGTAATGTGCCTCAGCAGATCAACTTTGAGAGCAAATGTTTTGCCACAGCCACAGCAGCGATAGATTCCCTCCCATGTGTGCATCTTCAGCTGGCCAATCCGAGAGAAGCATTTGCCACAGTCGACGCAGCTGTGAGTCTTTATAGACGTGGTGCTGGGTCTGGAATGGTGTTTTTCCAATGATGGGTTTTGATCCAATAGTGGGTTGGGATCCAATGGTGGGCGGCTGTCAAGTCCTACTAGGTCCTTGCTTACAGCTGAGCTGTGGCTGGAGGCATTGTTTTGGTTATCTGGAGGCTCACAGCGAATGTTGTGAGGTGGGATTCAAAAGGTTTGAGATCAGCTGGTTTAGAGTCACTCTCTTGGTTTTCCTCAGGCTGGGTTTGGGGAGGAGTAAAGGACTGAAGTGGGTCCTCCTGATCACATTTACGTTTCACTCGGGGAGGCCAATGAATATTAACTTTATGATTTTAGCCTCCAGCCCTTAAACCCGCTCTTCCTCCTGACTGGTCCTGAGTTGCTCCTGTTCCTCTTTAATCTGTGTGGGTTCTGAGTCCTCCTGGTCCACACTCGGCCTCCACTCCTGCTCACAGTGCTGCTGCTGCCCAGGGGAAACAACCTCTTCAGAGACAGGGAGAGAGAGCTGCAGAGTTCCTGAAGGGAAGTAGAGAGGAACAGAGGTCTATCCAGTATGTTACATCTTTAGACATTCCCTGACCTAGTGCTTAGTGACAGGACATGCCATTTCAAAACACTGACGCAGACAATTTTGAACACAGATCAAAAACTATTTCCTAAACAGTTTTCAAATCAAATCAAATTTTATTTGTCACATGCGCTGATTAGAACAGGTGTAAACCTTACTGTGAAATGCTTACTTACAAGCCCTTAACCAACAATGCAATTCAATAAATAGAGTTAAGAAAATATTTACTAAATAAACTAAAGTTAAATATAAAATAAAAAGTAACACAATAAAATAACAATAACGAGGCTATATACAAGGGGTACCGGTACCGAGTCAATGTGCGGGGGTATTGAATATTGATTGCATTTAAATAGTGCCTTTCCAGATGCTCAAAGTGCTGCAAGTGGGGGAAATTCACCTCATCCACCACCAATGGGTAGCACCCACTTGGGTGATGCACGGTAACTATTTGTGCCAGAACGCTAACCACACATCAGCTATTAGGTGGAGAGGTGAGGAGTGACATATTCAGGACACCAGGGTTAACATTCCTACTCTTACGATAAGTGTCATGGGATTTTTAGTGACCACAGAGTCAGGACACGTGCCATCCGAAAGAAAGAGTAGAACTGTAGCTACACTCTCAGGATTTTTTTTTTGCTATCTAGAACCTAAAATGGTTCTTAGGCTGTCCCCATAGGAGAACCCTTTGAAGAACCCTTTTGGGTTCCTGGTAGAACCCTTTTGGGTTCCATGTAGAAGAGAGTTCTGGCGGATTCTACATGGATCTTCACTCTCCCATAGACCTTCACTCTCCCATAGACACTATCTCACACGGACATATTTAAAAAATCCTCTCACTTCGCCTCTTCCTCTCTGGTTTCAGGCTTGCTGGGATTTGCTTTGTCCTCAAAGAATGTTCAATTCTACTTTCTTCTTCTTCTGATTTTATTGACAGTTGGAAAACAAATTCAATGATGCATTATTAATTGGACTGGAGTATGGACCAGTGGCAGGGAATATCTAAACTTTGCTGATATGCTTCTAGAACTCTGTGTATCTTCCTAAGAAGATCCTCTGTAGCTCAATTGGTAGAGCATGGCGCTTGTAACGCCAGGGTAGTGGGTTCGATCCCTGGGACCACCCATACGTAAAAATGTATGCACACATGACTGTAAGTCGCTTTGGATAAAAGTGTCTGCTAAATGGCATATTATTATTAAAACAAAATACAAATATATAAATCACATCTCCGGTGGTTTACTAAGCGTCTCTTTCATATCTGCTACCTGAATGCTGTTAAGCTTACCCGTAAACGCTCCCTTTCCCTCCCATATTGCTGACATGTTCCACTGTCTCAACCTCCTGCCAATAATCACACCTCCCAGTTGAGTGCTGCCTATAATATTCAATGTAGTATTCATTCAACCTTGTATGCCCCCGTCTTAGCCTAGAAACTATAGTCTCCCTTCTGTCTACCTGAGGACCTCCCTGGCCCCGCCTTTCGCTGGATCTTAAAAATATGTAGGCCCTTTCCCTCTATTTCACACAGGGGCGGACTGGGACCAGAAATCGGCCCAAGCATTTCTAACGCACTGGCAAATTCCTTCCCTTGAGGCCCCCACACCGGCCCATTCTTTTTTGCCTACCCCATTATAAGCCAAATAATGATTTTGCGCAAAACCCCCAATTTAGACCGGCCCACTGGGCCAAAAGTGGATCAGCCCATATTTATATTGCCTGAACTGCCCAATGGCCAGTCTGCCCCTGATTCCACATCTCCTGCCACTTCTTAACAACAATCACCTCCCTAAATCGAGCCACTTAATATGTCAACATTAATATGTCTAAGACTCACTGGACACACAATTGTTGAATCAACGTTGTTTCCACGTTATTTCAATTAAATTACGCAGAACCAACGTGGAATAGACATTGAATTGACATCTGTGCCCAGTGGGGAGCTTCATTATTGCCCAAAAAATATCCACCTCTTCATTCCCCTCTACCCCAACTTGAGCTGGGACCAAGAAAACCAGCAATAACTAACCCTTTCAATTCACGCACAACATGAGCTGCCATCTTATATTTCAGAAATGCTTTATTAGTTTTAATTCAGTCATCCTTTGTTGTTTGTATATAGGCCTACACAGGTCATTTTTGGGGGGTTCCACACTGTGGATACCGGTATTCGAAATTGCTATGAGAAATCTTTTACACACAATACACTACAAGGCACAGTGCCAATTGAATACAGCATATTCATTACAAAGCTAGGCAAAAGGTTTTAGACCAACTGAAAAGCAATATAACAATTCAATTCCTCCATCAAATTACTAGTTCTATCCATTGGGTTCTCTTTTCTTGATTCTCCCTTAATGCTTGGTTTACTGTTTTATAAATGAATCTTCCTTGTCCTCCATATTTCCCAGCAGGCATTAGGTAGGGAACATGGAGTTATTTCTGGGTCGCACAGCCTGCCTCTGCATCTCGTACATGTTCACATAAGATGATAAGAGGTCATCCATTTTGTAACCCTGAAGAGGAGAGACAAATAGAGTCATTGGGGCATGAACATAGAGGCAAAGACACATCACATTCTGGCTCTAGTGAATAAGTCACTACAATGCAAGTGTTTGTGAAGGTCATTTAGTATGCCCTCAACAAACACTATATCAGCACTTTCGATTTACACAAAATGTATTGGTTTAAAGGAGGTAACATCTTTCATTTTGCCTCAAAGACATAATGGCCACTCACCAATGAGGTCTCACAAAGGAAAGTGTTCCCTTTGACCAGGTTGCCAATGGTGATGTGGAAGTAAGTGCTCCCGCTGGACCAGTTGGTGATGCGGTTGAACGGGTGCATGACCAGCAACTCCTGAGGTATAGGTAAAGGTCAAAAGGTAATGTTTGGTTAAACAGAGACGGTCAATACTTTATAGTGCTGATGATAGCAGAAGTGGGATCCTAGCTTGATGTTGCCTTAATGTTGTGGTGCAGCATATGGAGAACATATGTAAGGGTTTTCAGATTTTAGGTAACTGCACTTGAGGTCAGCATAATTATATGAACATCTGGCAGTAAATGTCCTATAGATTAAAGTACAATGCTCTGATAATGTTGATCAAATCAAAATAATCATAAAAACAATGGTACGTTTACCTTTGTTTTGGGGTTGATGAAGTTGACTCCTTGTTTGCTGATTGCAATCTGGACGATACTCGGGTAACTCGGTTCAGAGGTTTGCTGTGAAGCAAGATTATACAGAAAGTCACCAATGGGATACGAAGGTTGGTGTCAGTATGTATCGTTTTCCTATTGACTTGAGCTGTCTCCTAACGTACCTTTACTTCGAAGAAAGCACAGCCGAACGTCGGCCAGTGGCAGATGCCTTTTAGAAAGGCCACTTTAGCCTCGTCCAAGGTGATACCAGCCTGTTTGTTATAGGAGGAGATGATGTGCTATAAGGGAAGAAGAAAACAACAGAAAGATTCAGAAATACAAGTTTCGGTATTTCTTTATTACTGTATGTTGTATGCTTTCAAATATTGACATACGTATGATATACATCTGGCCAAAATATTTGTTATAATCGTGCACTTGTCACGACTTCCTCCGAAGCTGCCTCCTGTCCTTGTTCGGGCAGGTTTCGGCGTTTGTCGTCACCGGCCTTCTAGCCACTGCCGCACCTCATCTCATCATTCCATTTGTTTTGTCTTGTTTATTACACACACCTGGTTCATATCCCCTCATCAGTACCTGTATAAGTATTCCCTCTGCCCCCCCTGTCTTTGTGTGTGATTGTTTATTGTGGAGGTTACCATAGCTCAGTGGAGCTATATTGTTTTGTATAGCCGGGATATTCACCCGTGTGCCTTGTTGTTCTCCAGTGCGCCGTATTTCCACACTGGAGTGTTTTACGCATTGCTGCGTACCGCTGTTCTTACGGAATAAACCATTTATTCTGTATTTTACCCTCCTGCGCCTGACTCCTTCTAAATCACCCGACGCCACAGCACTACTAATATACTAAGAACACTGTTAGGGTAGTGGTTGAATAACTAGTCTTCAGGTCACAATGGCAGTTCTAATTGCAGAAATGATCATTTATTGGAATGAGCCATCTGCTTAGTAATGGAGAGAGTAAGAGATGTATGCCAAATATCATATAAAGAAAAATAAAATGAGAAGGACTGCCAGTGGAGCAGTGTACTATGGGTATCTGTTATCTCCTCCTCATCCCCACCTTCTTCCAGTCCTCTGGGGACATGGTTTTCATCTCGTCAGCCGGCACCAGATCCTTCAGCATCCTGGGAATCATGACAAACTGGGACCTGTCCGTGTCCACCTTGACCCGGAACAGCAGGCCAGCCAGGCTGATCATCTCCTCCTTGGTACACTTGTGGTAGCCACGCAGGTACTTGGGCAACTCCTGAGGGGAGAGGTTTGTGTATGAGCGATGAGCAACGGGGTTCTGGGTTAACCCCGCTTACTCACTATTTACAGTGGTTTGAATACAGGTTGAGATGCGGACAGGTAACTCAAGTCTTTAGTGTAAAGCATTACCCAATGGGAGATTTGAATGATGAATAAAAACTCATTCTACTACTAGAAATGTACAGTAGTCTGTGTGAGTGCCTGTCTGTCTGTCTGTCTGTGTCTTTCATGCCCGACCTGTGGGAAGTGGAAAGTGAGGTCAGCGGTCAGGTCTCTTCCTGGTGTCACGTTGAACCACAGCTTCCTCATGAATAGGACCAGGTAGGGCATGGTGGCTGGAACACCTGAAACACAAATGTTCATCACTCCTTATAGCATAGCAGAGTTTAGTTTAGCATAGCATAGGATAGCATAGTTTAGTATAGCATAGCATAGCATAGCATATGTTAGCATAGTATAGCATAGCATAGTGTAGTGTAGCATACCAGTTTCAATCCACTGAAAACTTTGTGGGAGTAAGAGTTTACTTTGATCTTTTGCATACATTATATTATGTTTTTGACTGTTTTAGGGCTACTATGTACATGCACTGACAATTTGGTGGATGCAAGAGTTCATTGTATCTGTTAAATTCAGTACTGTGTCTTACCCTCTGTTTTACTTCCTTTTTTCACCTCTCTGACTCTCTTTGTTTTCTTAGGTTGGTCTGTGGTCTCCCTCAAACTGTCAAAGAAGTAGTTTTGGTCCTCTAAGCTCACCACCTGAAAGCAACAAGGAGAGAGAAAATGAACATACATTCACTTGCACTACCAGGACTAACTAAACCAGTTAATTTATCTTATTTTATTTTCAAAATGTTGTGATATGAGCTTGAATTTAACCTTGTTTGGCGTTTTCATGAATAGACTGTAACCATCAGCTGAGGCTAGAATGAGCTTGTAGGCAATGTTACGAACAAGGTCACGAATCCTAGTCGTTGATGTCACCTCGAAGAGCTACAAATAAGAATTGACCCATTTAATTCATTACATTTATTTCACATGGACAATGAACATAATTAATCAACATTTCTGTATTATTATGTTTCTGTAGATTTAGCCAGCCAGATAGTTTCCACTGTGACAAAAGTTCAGATACCGTATGTAAGTTGATGTGAGATAATCATAGTAATCATAGTGGTCATAGTGATCATAGTAATCATAGTGATCATAGTAATCACAGTGATCATAGTAATCATAGTAATCATAGTAATCATAGTAATCATAGTGATCATAGTAATCATAGTGATCATAGTAATCATAGTGATCATAGTGGTCATAGTGGTCATAGTGATCATAGTAATCATAGTGATCATAGTCATCACAGTGATCATAGTAATCACAGTGATCATAGTAATCATAGTAATCATAGTAATCATAGTGATCATAGTGATCATAGTAATCATAGTGATCATAGTAATCATAGTGATCATAGTAATCACAGTGATCATAGTAATCATAGTAATCATAGTGATCATAGTAATCAAAATGATTATAGTGATCATAGTTATAATAATAATAATAATAATAATAATATGCCATTTAGCAGACGCTTTTATCCAAAGCGACTTACAGTCATGCGTGCATACATTTTTGTGTATGGGTGGTCCCGGGGATCGAACCCACTACCTTGGCGTTACAAGCGCCGTGCTCTACCAGCTGAGCTACAGAGGACCACATCATAGTAATCATATTACGCAAATAAGAAGCTCTCTACCTCAGCTGTGTCGTTAGGGAAGTGGACTTTATGGAAGATCTGGTTGCTGTCCTGTTGAATGGCGTCCACCTCCACCTGATGGGGAGGCAGCTTCCTGGGCTCCATACTAAAACAAGAGGATGGTATAGCGTTAATTTTCCCCCCACTCATTTGAGTACTTAACACCTCAATACCATATTTTGTAGCGTCCTCAGCACAACTCCAGCAACCCCATTCAAGATATTCAGATTGAGACCTCTTGGCTTAGGTGTTGGATTTGTAGGGACATTTAGTTTGAGTCCTATTCGCACTGCCTCCCAAATTCACTACAGTGTGCTTTGGAGCCCTACCTGAGCAGCATTTGTAGCCGTTGCAGGCAATCTGCAAGGCCATGGGGCTCTCTGGGCCGTGGACTCTAGGAAAACGCTGGTGTAACTTCAGCAGGATCTGACTGGGGGGGTAAGAGGTGCCGGAAACACAGCCAAAGGAGCTGCCAACCATAGTCTACACTCATTCTGAGAGAGGGAGAGAGAGAGAGAGAGAGAGGGAAGAAAAGAGAGAGATAGAGAGAGAGAGAGATGGGGGGGGTCAAGAGTATAGAGAGATGTATGAGACTATTGCATATAGTAGTGAGAGCGAGAGATAAGTCCGAGAAGCAGTAGCGCCGAGAGATCAGCGCCTCGCTAGCATACCAGAGAGATCGAAGCTCATATCTATAGAGAGAGAGGGGCCCGGTTTGGGGTTTTTTTTTTTTTTTTTTTCCCCCCCCCCCCACCCCTCCCCCCCCGGGGGGGGGGGCCCCACCCCCCCCTCCACCCCCCCCTGCCCCCCAGGGTTTTTTCCCCCCTTTTAATTGGGGGGGAGGGGGGGCCCCCCCCCTTGGGGCCCCCTCCCGGCCGGCCCCGGCCGGGTTCTTAAAACCCCCCCGGTTTTGGGGGGGCCCCCCTTTTTGGGGGGGGGCCCCCCCCCCCTTTTTTTTTTTTCCCCGGGGGGGGGGGGGGGGCCCCCCCCCCTTTTTGGGGGGGGTTTGGGGGGGGGGGGGTTTTTTTTTTTCCCCCGGGGGAAAAGGGGGGCCCCCGGGGGGGGTTTTTAGGGGGTTTTTGGGGGGTTTTAAGGGGGGGGGGTTGTTAAAAGGGGGGGGGCCCGGGTTTTGGGGGGGTTTTTCCCCCCCCCCAAAAATTTTTTTGGGGGCCCCCGGGCCCCTTTTTAAAAAAAAAAAAATTTTTTTTTCTTTTTTTTAAAATTTTTTTCCCTGCCCCCCAAATATTCCCCCCCCTTTTTTTTAAAAAACCCCCCCCGGAGGGCGAAGGGGGAAAAGGAAGGGGGGCCCCAAAAGGGCCCCCCGACCCCAAAATTTTTAAAATTTTTTTTGGCTGGCGGATTTTGGGAAAAACAATAAAAAGGGGGAAAAAAAGGGGGGGGGGCCCAAAAAGAAAGGTTTCCCCCCGGGAAAAAGGGGGAAAGGGGGAAAAGGGGCTTTTTTAAAAAAAAAGGGGGGGGTTTTTTGGGGGGGAAAAAAAAAAAGGGGGCCCCGGGGGGGAAAAAAAAAAAGGGGGAAAAGGGAACGGGGGGGAAAAGGGGGGGAAAAAAGGGGGGGGGGAAATTTAAAATTGGGGGAGGGGGGTTTGGGGGAAAAAAGGGGGAAAAAGAAAGGGGGGGGAAAGGAGGGGGGGGGGGAAAAAAGGGGGGGGGGGAATTTTAAAAAAAGAATTTTGGGTGATTTTTTGTTGAAGTTTTCTGTTATTGTGATGCGGGATGAGTGTAATACATCCTTGCATATTCTTTTCTTCCTCTTCCCCTTTTTGTGGAAAAGCTGATTGGGCTAATTTATGCCCGTTGTTCAATTCTCATGGGCTGTGGATTTTGTGCTTTCTTACTCTCCTCCTCGGCCAGGAGCGGAGTGAGACCTCGTCGACACAAGCTAGAGGGGGTCTCCAGGGCCAAAGCATATTATATTTCCTAAATGACATGGAAATAGCTTACATGGCTATATTGTTGCCCTTACCACATACCTGCTGTTGTTACTGGTCATCTGCCTCATGATCTGGCAGTAGACCTCGTCCTGTAACAGCACATGCTGAGTGGGCCTGGGCCAAAGATCCTGGTCAGTCAGATCTATGGGCTGGCGTACCTGTTTGATAGGGTAATCCTCCACATGTACTTTAGGATAGGTGAGGGAAAGGTTAAGGACAACAGGAAAAGTTCAGAAAACTCCACTTGGAGAGACATTTTTACTAGGGTAATTCGGAAAATGTTACGCCATTGTAAAAAATAAAATAAAAGTAATTTTATTGAACGTTTAAAGGTCTCCAGTAGCAATAAACCCAGGTGTAATCCCTCCCTAGTGTCTTCTTCAACACCTATTAAAACACTTCCTGGTTGTTATCCAGTGTTTGCCTCAATATCAATATGAACATCAACCGTACATTAAAATGGAAGTTCAGGAATTTACAACTTGATGTTAGATGGTTTCTCAACATGAAGTTGGCTAAAGTTAACTGAAGTTTGTAGTGGCTGTTTAAAGAAAACCCGAACCATGGATTCCAGTTTGTCGTGGCCCATAGACAACTTTCAGGGAGAGGAACCATCTAACATCAAGTTGTAAAATCCTGAACTTCCCCTTTAACAAATAAAGTATTTGAGTAAAGGATATCAATGAAGGAGATGCAGGCCAGATGGCTGAGGTCGGTGTTGCCCACCAGACTCTTCAGTAGGGGCTGTTTGATGGGTTCTTTGGAAGCAGCCCACAGTTTCTCCCTGCCTCTGGCCTGCGCCCCGCGGCCCCCTTCTTTACCAGGCTGCCTAAGGTAAACAAAGGAAACAGAGAAGGTTAACTTGCTGTCTTGAGAATAGTGTGACCAGAAAATATACTGTTAACCATGCAGACTGTAGTAGTGAGATAATTGGTCAGATTACTGTCACATTGGAATACGCCTTTGTTAAACCGATGATTCATTTACAATTGTTCATGGTTATTATTAAAGTTAAAATGGTTATTGAAGTCGTTTAAATAGTAGTGAGAGTGGATTTACTGATAGAGTTTTCTCTACCTGAAGTACTCATAGGCAAACTCTTTCAGTGAGACAGGGGACACTGCTTCTTCCCTGGCGGGTGCATTCTGAGCCACTGTCCTCTGGTCTGGGCTCAGATTCAGCAGATTCTTGTGGTTCAACCAAAGAAAAACACAACGTTAATATGACCACAAGATTGTAGTCTTCCCCTGCCACAATCCCCCTAAGAGCAGGGACTTGATGTGGACTTGCCCCACCATAAGTCTTACAATGCTCACAAGTCCGCCCAACATATGGGCAGCATTCCAACTGGTTAAGTGCAGGTGTGTAAGCAATAACTCACTGTTTAATTAGCCTGGTCCCAGATCTGTTTGTGCTGTCTTGCCAAGTTGGCAAGACAGCACAAACAGATCTGGGACCAGACTACTGTTCTTTGACCTATTCTTCTAACCATATGAATTGAAACATCATTCAAGTGAAGTTTTGATAAGTATTTTAAGTCTAGAACCTTCTGTTAGAGTCTAGAACCTTCTTACCAGTGTGGTATCGCTGGGCTTGTCAAGGGTTGGCAGAACCAGGACGGTATCCGTGGAGACGGCGCCAGTGTTCCCGGTGCGCTCGTTAGTGCCTTTGATCCATCCCCGGTCAGGGGAGAACTCTCCATCCTTCAGGATGACCAGCATGTCCCCTCGCTTGTAGCTCAGGAATGTGGGGTCGTCTGCAGACAGAGGGAAACGAGAGAGAAGCAGAGAGAGAACTATTTGCACATTGTTACAACACTGTATGTATACGTAATATGACATTTGAAATGTCTTTATTCTTTTGGAACTTCTGAGTGTAATGTTTACTGTTAATATTTATTGTTTATTTCACTTTTGTTTACTATCTACTTCACTTGCTTTGGCAATGCTAACATATGTTTCCCATGCCAATATAATTAATTGAATTTAATTGAGAGAGAGAGAGAGAGAGACAGAGAGATGAGAGAGAGACACAGAGCGAGAGAGAGAGAGAGAGAAGAGAGAGGAGAGACAGAGAGAGAGAGGAGAGAGAGAGACAGAGAGAGAGACACAGAGATAGAGACACGAGAGAGAGCACCAGAGAGATGAGACACAGAGAGAGAGATAGACACATAGATCGAAAAGAGCGAGAGAGATAGAGAGAGAGGAGAGAGAGAGAGAGAGAGAGAGAGAGAGAGAGAGAGAGAGAGAGAGAGAGAGAGAGAGAGAGAGAGAGAGAGAGAGAGACAGAGAGAAGTAAGTCACCCAGGTCCATAAGATAAACCATATTAGGTCATGCATGTTTTCTGTTAAACACTGACTACCTACTACCTGTTTTATCTGATGGGGACAAATACATTGTTTTACACTACAATTTACAGCATTAGGATTCTATGGAACACATCCAGATACCCACCCCTCTTAAGCAGTGCTACCCAGCATGGCCTTCACCCATCTCATCCATATGGATGAACCTCAGTTATGAAGTGTCTGTTGATAGACTAGTCAGTATTATGATTCTGCCAAATACATCAATCTACTGTAACTAACCCTCTGTAGCTCAGAGATACACAGCTTAACCCTAGACAATCCTATCCAAAATCAGTGAACCTCAGCTGTGAGGTGAGGGATCAACTGATTCATCGTCATATTCGTACCCTGTCTGTTGATGTCCTGCAGGGCCACTGCGTAGACGGAGCGCTCCCTCAGGCCCTCCAGGTACCACTGGATCAGGTCAGCCATCTCCCCTGCCTCCACAGACTGCAGTAGGAACTGCCCTCTCAGTGTGGCCAGGCTCACAGACTGACTGCTGTCGATCCTGCCGTCATCACTGAGGAACATATGAAAAGTATGTGAAATGTATGTAATAACTTCATGGTGGATTGGATGTCGGTATGAGGGAGAATGTGAACCATGATGACCACCACTACTTGACAACTGAACAATAAACTGCCACTGTATAAAACCAGGTTGGGCTATGTATTCTGGGCCCTGTTGGAATACTTAAGACATGCATCTTTTCTTGTTTCCTTGAGGTAAACAGACCTATACGTGGTTGGATAGCTCCAAGTAAGGTTATCACTCTATTACCTAAAATTCAACCAATTCAGATCAGTGATCACTTGGAAGGGAGGAAGGAAGGAAGGAAGGATGCATTTCAGAAATATTTGAAAAGGGCCTTGGTATTGCCTGTCCATACCTGGACTTGTTGACCCCAGTCACCTCTGGGAAGGGCAGCTCAAGGAGCTTCTTCTCTTTCTCGTCCTGAAAGGAGATCCCATTCCAGTTGATGGCCACAATAAAATTGCTTTTGGATAGAGGAGGTCCTGTGGGTTTATAGATACCTTACTAATAAAATCGTCTTCGACAAAGAAAATAAATATTTTGCCTGACGTAAAACAACTAAAAGCTTCATCATGTGAAATGAAACTAACTTCACCTGGTACATTATGCAGATATATTCCTGTTAGACTTACCTGACATTTGCGTAACCTCGTAGAACTTGGAGAAGAAGATGGGCCATTTCTGACGAGCGTAGTCAACCACATCCCCCTTCACGCTGTCTGTGCTCCTTCTGCCGTTTATGTAAGGACCCTGTGAGAATGATTAGGATCATTATTAGTTGAATTATTTTGTCTGGTATTAACTTTCCTTTACTCAACTTAACTTTTTTATTTAATTATTTATTTTACTTTGCTTTACTTTACTTGATAGGGATAGCACACTGAATAGCAGGAATTTTAGAACAGAATATATTACAGGTTGTCTGGCCATTACTTATTGCAGCAGTGAGTAGTAGTTTACCTGTGTGTGTGCTGCGGTAACCAGCTGAATCCATTTTCCTTGTGACTTGGTCTCAATAAGTTCAGTAGGGATGCATTCCTCCACCACCTTCTTGGCATTTTCTCCACTGTTGGCAGACCCAAACGTCACATAGTAGTACATCGCTGCCAGCTGGACAAAGTCATCCTCCTGGATGACAAAACAAATAAATACAAAGTCTGTTTAGGTCCAATTATAAAGAAAGACAGTTTAGTTGTTTAGTTAATAGAATTTCCACTTCAAACATATGCAGTCTTTATATCTTTCTTTTTTTCAACAATAGTGGTAATTGATCGTTATTCTTTTATGATTTCTCACAGAGTTCAGTGAGACATTGTGACTCCTAAGATTCATGCTTAGTTCATGGTCAACCTACCTCGAGAGTAGTGGAGGCTACTTTCACAATTACACCATCAATGATATGATATCCACACTGTCTGGGTGGGTGGAGTCTTAAGGCGGTGTACTGTTTTTTACTATTGTGTTTTGCTTTTCATGTATTGTTGTGTATAATAACGTGTATTTTAATGTGTATATGGGTGTGTAGTTTAATGTGTGTATTGTATTTGGATGTGTATTGTTGTGCCATATAGGGCTCATCTGGAAAAGAGACCTTGGTCTCAGCATTGACTCCCTGTCAAAATAAAGGTTAAACAAAATAAATAAAACAACGACGCACCTTCTCAGAATGGTACTCCCCAGACTTGAGGCCTCTGATGACCTGTCTGTAGATGAGATCCGTGCTGACGGCATCTATCGAGGAATCGTGCCACGGCGTAAACAGCTCCTTGCGGATGTAGAGTCTCCAGGAGGCGTGCTGCTCCTCCTCGCCCTTCCGCCTCACTTCCTGCTCGCACTGCGAGATGGCGTCCATCACGTGCTTTCTGCCACTGCCCAGGGACCACATCTTGAAACAGCACAGTGACAAAACATGTCACAGGGCTAGTCAAAACATGTCACAGGGCTAGTCAAAACATGTCAGAGGGCTAGTCAAAACATGTCACAGGGCTAGTCAAAACATGTCACAGGGCTAGTCAAAACATGCAACAGGGTAGTCAAAACATGTCAGGGCTAGTCAAAACATGTCACAGGGCTAGTCAAAATATGTCAGAGCTAGTCAAAACATGTCACAGGGCTAGTCAAAATATGTCAGCGCTAGTCAAAACATGTCACAGGGCTAATCAAAATATGTCAGGGCTAGTCAAAACATGTCACAGGGCTAGTCAATGCAAGTCAATGTTAGTCAACTTCTGAAAGCTAGCAAAGATGCTAATAAATGGTAGTCAAATGCTATCAAGTCCAATAAAAATATTTTTTTAACGTTGTCCCTTTTCAATCTCAATATTGAACTGACGTTGAATGAGCAACTTCAATTTCTCAATCCACAAGGCATGATGCCCACCCAGTACCAGGATACCACAGTTAGGTATCCTCTTGCCATGCGACTAAGAAGAGTATCTGTTGACACAGCTGTATTTATTATGTATCTTCTTTGTCAATACAGATGTAGGACCTTAATTTGATCAACCTGTTGCAGAATAACTTTCCTGCAATGCAGGAGATTTCAAATGTGTAGTGTATTTGAGGTTTAAAACGGATTCTGAAGTTTGTAATTTCCACTCTCACACTTGTTTTTCCCTTACAAAAATATCCATGAATTATAATCCATATAATAATTCACATTTCCTGTTGCTGCAGGATTATTTTCCTGCTGTAGCAAACTGGCTCAAATTAAGATCATACATCTGTACGTACTCCTTTTAGTTGCATGGCTAGGTATCCCTAAAACCCTTTGGGTTTCCTTCACCTTCTCATAGAAGCCGATGTAAAGAGAGAATCCGTAGGTATCCTTGATGTTGACTTTCTTGGCCAGTGCCTGGCACACCTCAGCAGAGGTACAGGCTGAGTCAATAGGCAGGCTGACACTAAGGCCGTCCATCAGGGCCACAGATACTTGTGTGGGCTTCTTGGTCTTCACAGCCTACATGTGGGAAGACGGAGACACAGGAATAAGTAGTCCTTGTAGAATAATGTACTACTTACTACAGTAACCATATTGCTCTGTACACATCCAGTTTTGGTGTCCTGTCTCCTTACAGTCACTGTCATAAGATTAATATTAAGATCACTTCAACGGCATCTAGTATTTGATACCAGCAACCCTCTGGTTGCCAGCTCACTTCTTCCAGATTTTTCCTGTCAGACCCAGGATTCGAACAGGCAACCCTCCGGTTGCTAGCTCGCCTCTTTAACCGCTAGGCTACCTGCCGCCATAAAGGTACAGTTGAAGTCGGAAGTTTACATACACTTAGGTTGGAGTCATTACAACTTGTTTTTCAACCACTCCACAAATGTCTTGTTAACAAACTATAGTTCTGGCAAGTCGGTTAGGACATCTACTTTGTGCATGACACAAGTAATTTTTCAAACAATTGTTTACAGACAGATTATTTCACTTATAATTCACTGTATCACAATTCCAGTGGGTCAGAAGTTTAACTACACTAAGTTGACTGTGCCTTTAAACAGCTTGGAAAATTCCAGAAAATGATGTCATGGCTTTAGAAGATTCTGTTAGGCTAATTGACATCATTTGAGTCAATTGGAGGTGTACCTGTGGATGTATTTCAAGGCCTACCTTCAAACTCAGTGCCTCTTTGCTTGACATCATGGGAAAATCAAAAGAAATCAGCCAAGACCTCAGAAAAAAAATTGTAGACCTCAACAAGTCTGGTTCATCCTTGGGAGCAATTTCCAAACGCCTGAAGGTACCACGTTCATCTGTACAAACAATAGTACGCAAGTATAAACACCATGGGACCACGCAGCCATCATACCGCTCAGGAAGGAGACGTGTTCTGTCTCCTAGAGATGAACGTACTTTGGTGCGAAAAGTGCAAATCAATCCCAGAACAACAGCAAAGGACCTTGTGAAGATGCTGGAGGAAACAGGTACAAAATATCTATATCCACAGTAAAACGAGTCCTATATCGACATAACCTGAAAGGCCGCTCAGCAAGGAAGAAGCCACTGCTCCAAAACCACCAAAAAAAGCCAGACTACGGTTTGCAACTGCACATGGGGACAAGGATCGTACTTTTTGGAGAAATGTCCTCTGGTCTGATAAAACAAAAATAGAACTGTTTGGCCATAATGACCATCGTTATGTTTGGAGGAAAAAGGGGGTGCCTTGCAAGCAGAAGAACACCATCCCAACCGTGAAGAATGGGGGTGGCAGCATCATGCTGTGGGGGTGCTTTGCTGCAGGAGGGACTGGTGCACTTCACAAAATAGATGGCATCATGAGTAAGGAAAATTATGTGGATATATTGAAGCAACATCTCAAGACATCAGTCAGGAAGTTAAAGCTTGGTCGCAAATGGGTCTTCCAAATGGACAATGACCCCAAGCATACTTCCAAAGTTGTGGCAAAATGCCTTAAGGACAACAAAGTAAAGGTATTGGAGTGGCCATCACAAAGCCCTGATCTCAATCCTATAGACAATTTGTGGGCAGAACTGAAAAAGCGTTTGCGAGCAAGGAGGCCTACAAACCTGACTCAGTTACACCAGCTCTGTCAGGAGGACTGGGCCAAAATTCACCCAACTTATTGTGGGAAGCTTGTGGAAGGCTATCCGAAACGTTTGACCCAAGTTAAACAATTTAAAGGCAATGCTACCAAATACTAATGGAGTGTATGTAAACTTCTGACCCACTGGGAATGTGATGAAAGAAATAAAAGCTGAAATAAATCATTCTCTCTACTATTATTCTGACATTTCACATTCTTAAAATAAAGTGGTGATCCTAACTGACCTAAGACAGGGCATTTTTACTAGGATTAAATGTTAGGAATTGTGAAAAACTGAGTTTAAAATGTATTTGGCTAAGGTGTATGTAAACTTCCGACTTCAACTGTATGTCGGCAGAGCAAAAACAGAGAATCGATTTCATATGTTGGAGTAGGTGGGATATTAGCAGTGGTTAGCTCATGTAGCTGTAGCTTAGCAACTGCCTCTCACATAACTCTGATGCGACCTCTCATCATTTAGCATGAGTGCCAGTCTGTTTCTGCTTCAGTCAATGTCCTGTTGTCTGACCAAACCTGCTCTGATGCTGATCTCAAGACAACTGGGAACTGGGAAAAATACGAGGTCAAATCATGACGTCAGTGATCTTCAGGTCAGTAATTCGGAGCTCTAGAAAGAGGCCCAAGTTCCCGAGTTGGAATTCCGAGTTGGATGACCGTTCAAACCGATTTTTCCCAGTCGGAGCTAGTTTTTTTCAGAGTTCCCAGTTGTCTTGAACGCACTGAAGTCGGAAGTCAGAGATTTCCAAGTTCCTAGTTCTGAGTTCCCAGTTGTTTTGAACGCGGCATTTGTCATGAATACCGTCCATGACCTGTAGTGTTGATACTGCTTAACAGCAGCAGTAGTCGACACCTAGCGACATCATCAAGAGATTTGAGATTCTTTGGCTAGGGTGTTGGACCCGGGTTTGTTGGACCCGGGTTTGTTGGACCCGGGTTTGAGACCTGACAGGCCTACCCCCCAATTCTGTTGCATCGTGTCAGAAGAGAGATGGCAACCAGATGAGTATGTCTCAGTCACGGATGCTGTATTTTACCTGGAGCTCTATCCAACAGGGCAGTTCACCTCGCTCCCCATTGGCCACGATGCGACGCAGGCGCTCAGCACAGTATGGACCATAGCTACTTGGCCCTCTGCGCAGGAAGCACTCCAGGTACTGTGGAATAGAATAGGGAGGGATAGAATAGAATTACAGTGTATGTAATTGATTGAGTTCGGCCTGGGTTATAAATTCAGTGTGAGTATGCGTAAAAACACAACGCCTTAAGACATATTGCCAAAGGTGAAAAAATGTCAACTTTAGACTGACCTGCATAAGGAGTTCTGTTGGGGGGAAGATACCCAGACAGATGGACAGGAGGACCCAGCCTCTGAGGGAACTCTTCTGGTTCTTATTGTTCACCAGCTGTTTAATGATCTGACAGTAGATCTCATCTCTACACGGACAAACAAGGACAGACAGGGCTCAAGTAGCTATCTATCAGTTTTGATTGGATCCAATTCATATGCACTGCAACTGTAGCTGTAATCCTTCATTAGTTCTGAATGAAACAGTTTTTGGATTCAAACCAATTACTTTTGTAGACATCGATAACTGGGAAATATCTGGGTAACATTGTTTACATGTTGTAATTTGGTTTGTTACCTTATATCTCGTCTGGATAGGGCGTATCCAACAATAATGTGCAGTTTTTCCAGGTCGGATATTGGCCGATCCAAAGTGCGCCCCTCTCCAATCAGAATGTCTTTCTCCTCCGTCATAGTCTCTGACTGGAGGAGGTGAGGAGCACAATGAGACAATTAGCCGGTTTCGTCTGGAATATAGTTTATGTCATAATTTACTTTTCGTAGTTTATGTCATAACTGACTTTTTGTAGTTTATGTCATAATTGACTTTTCTTAGCAGGTTAAGAGAACTTAGGCAGCACGTTAGGAGACTTTACGTAGCAGGTTAGGATAATAAGATTAAGGTTAGGAAAAGGTTTAGGGTTAGCTAAACTTGACATAAACTGTATCCCATCTAGATATGACCCAATTAGCCTGTGTTGTTACATCATGGATATTCAGCCTAATTTTAGCTTATGTCACATACCTCATCTATAATGGTTGAAGCTTTTCTGTTCCCCATTCCTTCTTTCTTTCTGTTTTTCCTTAGTATTTTCTGATGGAAAAATGGATATGACAAATTAGACATCTGTCAAATTGTTAGTGGGTGAATTCAGTCAGCAAAAACTCAGAACAACAGTAACCTAATGGAAACACGCAAAATGACACAACTGTCAATTGCCATTACATTAAGGGAATCAGCGAGTAACAATGTTTTTCTTATTGCCCCTCAGGGATGAATAAAGTCCTATTGAACTGAATTGAAATGAATTGAAGGTTAAGTCCTAGTAAGGCCTTATATTCAGTACCTGATCCAGGCCCACCAGATTGCTGAGCCTCCTGTTCTGCCTCTGGCCAAGGTTATTCTGGATGATGGTGGAGGGCTCCTGGTTTATCTGTTTAGGCTCAGCTATGTCCCCCATGAACCTCAATATTATCCACCACACTGTCAGACAGGCCTGGAGAGGAGAGGAGAGGAGAGGAGAGGAGATGATGAGGAGAGGAGCATGGAAGGAGATCATTATAGGAGAGTGTGCGAGTACTCGCGTTCTATGCGTGCTCGTCTTCTCGGCGTACTCGCTGCGCACGTCTCGGTCCTTCCTCTCCCGTCCGTTATCCCCCCCCCACGGACGGAAGAAATTAAGCAATAAGGCACGAGGAGGTGTGGTATATGGCCAATATATTACGGCTAAGGGCTGTCCTTACGCACGACGCAACGTGGAGTACCTGGATACAGCTCTTAGCCGTGGTATATTGACCATATACCACAAGCCCCTGAGGTGCGTTATTGCTATTATAAACTGGTTACCAACGTAATTAGAACAGTGTTTTGTCATACCCGGTGGTCTGATATACCACGGCTTTCAGCCAATCAGCACTCAGGGCTCAAACCACCCAGTTTATAATGTGGAATATGTTATAGAGGAAGAAAAATTCCATCCTTGCTTTGAATCCCTCTGAGAGACACTGAAGCCTGATGTTGACTTCTCACCAGTGCGTCCCCCTCGTCCTCGTGGTAGAGCAGGGGCTGCCGCAGCCTCTGGGTGATGTGACCGTGGGTAGCAGAGCCCTGGAAGTGCAGAGCACTGAACTTGATGAAGGATAACTCCTCATCCTCATCATCGTACTCCTCCACCACTGGTAGCTCCACTGGTACTGGTGCTGGTGCAGGAGTTGGTTCAGTCTGAGCTGGTACTGGTACTACTACCGGAGCTGGGGTTTCTACTGGGCTCTTCTCTCGGCTCTCCTCTCGGCTCTCCTCTCGGCTCTCCTCTCGGCTCTCCTCTCGGCTCTCCTCAGTCACCTCTGGGATTGCCCACGTTCTCTCCAAGTCCTGAGGACGGATAGGGAGAGTGCAGTTGGATACTCAGTTAGATACTTTTTTTTGTAAAATATGTGTTGTTATGTGTTAATAACATTAAGACTACGTTACCAAGCAGGCTACACAAGGAGATTGCTAGCTGAAGTATCAGTTTATTAAAAGTAGTTCAACCTACGCCCCGGTTTGTCATTATACAAGGAACAAACATAACAAAAGGGAAGTCTTTGAGTTGGAGAGAATAGTAGAATATTATAATGTTTCTTCGAGGAGAAGAGACGATTAGGTGGATGTGGTCATTCTGTTAGCAGTGTTAATCATATAAGGCTATGGCAAATGGAATCCTACGTTGATATGACAGAGATCCACCAGTGGTTGTGAGCCTCACCTCAAAGCCCTCTGGCGCCGGGCCCTCCCGCCCTCCTACTGTCACTTTGTGGGGCAGGAAGTCAAACATGGTTTCCACCATTTCCTGCTCACTGATTGGCTCTGGCTCGGCAGCAGCCTGTTGTGATTGGCTGAGGACCTCCTCTAGCCTCCGCTGGAGCTCTGCAGCTGTCTGCTCCCTCACCTCCCGCTCCTGGGCTGATAGGAAGGCCTAACACAGACACACACACACACACACACACAAACACAAACACACACACAGATATATTGAACTCACTCACAATGGCACACACAGGTGTAAAAACAGGCTTGCATGCACACACACACACACACACACTTTTCTCAAATGTCAGAACTCACGTCTGTCCTCATCTTGTTGGTGGTCTTTCTAGCCAGCATGCCTCTGGTGTGGGCCTGGAGGACAGTCACAGCTTCTCTCTTGCTCCTATAACTCTTCCTGGCCAGGTACCCGCGCACCTGGGACTGCATGGTGACGGCTGCCGCCAGCTTCTTCAGGTAGTGCAGCCGGGCCAGACGACCACGGATCTTAGACTGCAGACGCTCAAAGCCGCGCTGGAGCTGGTCGAACGAGACAGAGAGAAGGATAAATTATGCTTGAAGAAGGTAAATGTGAGCAGAAGAGAGAAAACCGAAAGATGTGTTAAAAGCTGATCCAGCCTATAAAAAAAAGAAAATTAGCAAATCTCTATCAGCACAATAATGTGCACTCCTTAGCTAGGGCATTGAATCAATATCACCTCAGTTTGTCTACAAAAGTGTATCTGAGTTGACTCCTTACCAGTGTTGGGGAGTAGTGAATTACATGTAGTTCAACTAGTAATTTCATAGCATTTTGCTGTAGCTTAGTGGTAGTTGAACTCAATTCAAATATTGGTAGTGTTTTCAGTAGTTAATTACTTTTTGGCCATGTAGTGGTGTAGCTAAATACTGGAACTTCACACTACTTATTTGGCAAAAAGAAGAGCAAATATTGTATTTCTTTTTCGGCATCAGACCTCCCTAACTGCCACTTCAAACTTAGCCATTGACTTACCTTTCTATATTGTTTCTTGTCTCTGTAACCTCTCCAATGCTTCTGTATCACCACAGCAGCTCTCCTTTTCTTTACAAAGCTCTTCCTACAACAAGAATACATTTCAACAAAACTTAAATAGCGCCGACTGTAAGAACTACTGTATTAAAACAATAGTAACAACTGTATGTAACTATGTGGTAAACCTTTAGATTGGGGTATCAGAGAGAATAACAGATGCAGCCATGTCAGTGACCACAACATCCCAAACATTGAGGTTCCTGTGTCAGGTATGACATGTCGTATGCCATTTTCTATCCTGTGTTCCCTCCAAGCTAGACAATCTGGACCCTTTCTTTCTAAAATTAGCCGCCGAAATTGTAGCAACCCCTATTACTAGCCTGTTCAACCTCTCTTTCGTATCATCCGAGATCCCCAGAGATTGGAAAGCTGCCGCGGTCATCCCCCTCTTCAAAGTGGGTGACACTCTAGATCCAAACTGTTACAGACCTATATCCCTCCTGCCCTGCCTTTCGAAAGTATTTGAAAGCCAAGTTAACAAACAGATCACCGACCATTTCGAATCCCACCGTACCTTCTCCGCTATGCAATCTGGTTTCCGAGCTGGTCATGGGTGCACCTCAGCCACGCTAAAGGTCCTAAACGATATTATAACCGCGATCGATAAAAGACAGTACTGTGCAGCCGTCTTCATCGACCTGGCCAAGGCTTTCGACTCTGTCAATCACCGCATTCTAATTGGCAGACTAAATAGCCTTGGTTTCTCAAAATGACTGCATCGCTTGGTTCACCAACTACTTCTCAGATAGAGTTCAATGTGTCAAATCGGAGGGCTTGTTGTCTGGACCTCTGGCAGTCTCTATGGGGGTGCCACAGGGTTCAATTCTCGGGCCGACTCTATTCTCTGTGTATATCAATGATGTCGCTCTTGCTGTTGGTGACTCTCAGATCCACCTCTACGCAGACGACACCATTTTGTATACATCTGGCCCTTCATTGGACACTGTGTTAACAAACCTCCAAACGAGCTTCAACGCCATACAACACTCCTTCCGTAGCCTCCAACTGCTCTTAAACGCTAGTAAAACTAAATGCATGCTCTTCAATCGAACGCTGCTTGCACCCGCCTGCCCGACTAGAATCACTACTCTCGGCGGGTCTGACTTAGAATATGTGGACAACTACAAATACCTAGGTGTCTGGTTAGACCGTAAACTCTCCTTCCAGACTCACATTAAGCATCTCCAATCCAAAGTTAAATCTAGAATCAGCTTCCTATTTCGCAACAAAGCCTCCTTCACTCATGCTGCCAAACATGCCCTTGTAAAACTGACTATCCTACCGATCCTTGACTTCGGCAATGTCATTTACAAAATAGCCTCCAACACTCAACTCAGCAAATTGGATGTAGTCTATCACAGTGTCATCCGTTTTGTCACCAAAGCCCCATATACTACCCACCATTGTGACCTGTACGCTCTCCTTGGCTGGCCCTCACTACATATTAGTCGCCAAACCCACTGGCTCCAGGTCATCTATAAATCACTGCTAGGCAAATCCCTGCCTTATCTTAGCTCATTGGTCACCATAGCAACACCCACCCGTAGTATGCGCTCCAGCAGGTATATCTCACTGGTCATCCCCAAAGCCAACAACTCCTTTGGCCGCCATTCCTTCTAGTTCTCTGTTGCTAATGACTGGAACGAACTGCAAAAATCTCTGAAGCTGGAGACTCTTATCTCCCTCACTAACTTTAAGCATCAGTTGTCAGAGCAGCTTACCGATCACTGCACCTGTACACAGCCCATCTGTAATTAGCCCACCCAACTACCTCATCCCTATATTGTTATTTATTTTGCTCATTTGCACCCCAGTATCTCTATTTGCACATCATCTTCTGCACATCTATCATTCCAGTGTTAATACTAAATTGTAATTATTTTGCACTATGGCCTATTTATTGCCTTACCTCCATAACTTACTACATTTGCACACACTGTATATAGATTTTCTATTGTGTTATTGACTGTATGTTTTGTTTTACCCCATATGTAACTCTGTTTTTATCGCACTGCTTTGCTTTATCTTGGCCAGGTCGCAGTTGTAAATGAGAACTTGTTCTCAACTGGCTTACCTGGTTAAATAAAGGTGAAATAAAAAAGCTGTGTGTCTCAGTGTTCCTCCCCTACCTGTCTCTGTGGCCAAGAATGACCCTCTGGATGATGAGGGCTTTCCTGTTGAGCTCTCGCTCTCTCTCCCGCTCCAGTAGGGAGTCATGGGCATCCTGAATGGGAAGAGGGTGGAGACAGGTTATAGAGGATTCATGTGGACCTTTTCAAAAAGGGAGACCAACATCATTGTAACATATTCAAATTGCTTTAAGTGACATTTGGGATTACATCATTGCTGTTACAACATTACCAATGTTTGTGGTTGTCTAGTGTGGTGGGGTATAACTTAGCTAAAACCTGCTAAGCCATAATGTGGACACCACTGAGCCGGCGAGGGATATGGCTTGAAAACGTGCCTCAATTCAGGGACTGACATATGGAGAAGATTGAAATACTGCTAGTCTCTGCTAGCCTTTGGTTTAGTCTCTGCTAGCCTTTGGTTTAGTCTCTGCTAGCCTTTGGTTTAGTCTCTGCTAGCCTTTGGTTTAGTCTCGCTAGCCTTTGGTTTAGTCTCGCTAGCCTTTGGTTTAGTCTCGCTAGCCTTTGGTTTAGTCTCTGCTAGCCTTTGGTTTAGTCTCTGCTAGCCTTTGGTTTAGTCTCGCTAGCCTTTGGTTTAGTCTCGCTAGCCTTTGGTTTAGTCTCGCTAGCCTTTGGTTTAGTCTCTGCTAGCCTTTGGTTTAGTCTCGCTAGCCTTTGGTTTAGTCTCGCTAGCCTTTGGTTTAGTCTCTGCTAGCCTTTGGTTTAGTCTCTGCTAGCCTTTGGTTTAGTCTCTGCTAGCCTTTGGTTTAGTCTCTGCTAGCCTTTGGTTTAGTCTCTGCTAGCCTTTGGTTTAGTCTCGCTAGCCTTTGGTTTAGTCTCTGCTAGCCTTTGGTTTAGTCTCTGCTAGCCTTTGGTTTAGTCTCTGCTAGCCTTTGGTTTAGTCTCTGCTAGCCTTTGGTTTAGTCTCGCTAGCCTTTGGTTTAGTCTCGCTAGCCTTTGGTTTAGTCTCGCTAGCCTTTGGTTTAGTCTCGCTAGCCTTTGGTTTAGTCTCTGCTAGCCTTTGGTTTAGTCTCTGCTAGCCTTTGGTTTAGTCTCTGCTAGCCTTTGGTTTAGTCTCTGCTAGCCTTTGGTTTAGTCTCTGCTAGCCTTTGGTTTAGTCTCTGCTAGCCTTTGGTTTAGTCTCTGCTAGCCTTTGGTTTAGTCTCTGCTAGCCTTTGGTTTAGTCTCTGCTAGCCTTTGGTTTAGTCTCTGCTAGCCTTTGGTTTAGTCTCTCTAGCCTTTGGTTTAGTCTCTGCTAGCCTTTGGTTTAGTCTCGCTAGCCTTTGGTTTCGTTTCTGCTAGCCTTTGGTTTAGTCTCTGCTAGCCTTTGGTTTAGTCTCTGCTAGCCTTTGGTTTAGTCTCTGCTAGCCTTTGGTTTAGTCTCGCTAGCCTTTAGTTTCTGCTAGCCTTTGGTTTAGTCTCTGCTAGCCTTTGGTTTAGTCTCGCTAGCCTTTGGTTTAGTCTCTGCTAGCCTTTGGTTTAGTCTCGGTAGCCTTTGGTTTCGTTTCTGCTAGCCTTTGGTTTAGTCTCTGCTAGCCTTTGGTTTAGTCTCTGCTAGCCTTTGGTTTCGTCTCTGCTAGCCTTTGGTTTAGTCTCTGCTAGCCTTTGGTTTAGTCTCGCTAGCCTTTGGTTTAGTCTCTGCTAGCCTTTGGATTAGTCTCGCTAGCCTTTGGTTTAGTCTCTGCTAGCCTTTGGTTTAGTCTCTGCTAGCCTTTGGTTTAGTCTCTGCTAGCCTTTGGTTTAGTCTCGCTAGCCTTTGGTTTAGTCTCGCTAGCCTTTGGTTTAGTCTCTGCTAGCCTTTGGTTTAGTCTCTGCTAGCCTTTGGTTTAGTCTCGCTAGCATTTGGTTTAGTCTCGCTAGCCTTTGTTTTAGTCTCGCTAGCCTTTGGTTTAGTCTCTGCTAGCCTTTGGTTTAGTCTCGCTAGCCTTTGGTTTAGTCTCGCTAGCCTTTGGTTTAGTCTCGCTAGCCTTTGGTTTAGTCTCTGCTAGCCTTTGGTTTAGTCTCGCTAGCCTTTGGTTTAGTCTCTGCTAGCCTTTGGTTTAGTCTCGCTAGCCTTTGGTTTAGTCTCGCTAGCCTTTGGTTTAGTCTCGCTAGCCTTTGGTTTAGTCTCTGCTAGCCTTTGGTTTAGTCTCGCTAGCCTTTGGTTTAGTCTCTGCTAGCCTTTGGTTTAGTCTCGCTAGCCTAGCATGAAGACGAAAAAGGGCAATTTAATTAAAAACGAGCAGTATTTCAATCTTCTCCATTTGTCAGTTTGGATAATGGGATAACTAGGAGTACAGCGTCATCTTCCATCCCTGCATTGAAATACATTTTCACGCCATATCCCTCGCCGGCTCAGTGGCGTCCACATTATGGCTTAGAATCGTTTAGACTAGAAAATCTAGGTTTAACTGCACCTTTAGGAAGATCTTAGTCGTGCCGATCTTCCAGTCGTCCTGTCCTGTGATCACGGCCTTGCAGATGGCATTACAGCAGGCTGATGCTGACTCCTGGGTTAGGAGAGGGAGGAGGATATTGGGAACCATAACCACAAAACTAAAAGCAATGACAACTTTGGAGCTTTGAATGCTAACAAATATCATCGTCATTATCATCATCTTCATCATATTCTAAATAATAATGTCTTACAGTTTTGGGGTCACAGACGGTTGTCTTCAGGAGCACTCTGTACCGCTGCAGAAACTGCTTGAACGTGTGACGGATTGGATATCCCAGTTTCCGGATTCTGATGGTATCAATCATTCCAGAATACCGCAGCTGACGTATGCACAGGTCTCTGTCAAAAACCTGAGGAAGACATAGACATTCATAAGCTTGTTCTAGTAGAGTGGAGTGCACTGTAATATGGAAAAAGGGGACTTTCAAATTTTTATGGTGTGAAACTGCCATTCTACCTAATCACATTGTTTCTGTTTTGTGTGAGTTTGACCTCCACCGATTGTGACATTGCACCATAAAAACAATGAATCATGTCTCGCTGTATCTGGCCCAGTACTACAAATGGCTGCCTTATTCACCATGGACTTCTTGTTGTCGTTGGGCTTGAAGCAGCGGATGAAGTGGGGCTGGCAGATGGACAGGGCCTTCATGAGGGAGTCCAGGGACTGGCGGAACTGACCGCTCAGCGTAGACACCTGTTTCCTGCCGTCCGTCTGGGCCGCCTTTGCGGAGAAAGATCACAATGTCAACTGTGTGGAATTTTGGACCGTTGGCAGTGACTATATCTGTGGGAAAGCCATGTGGAGAAACTGGAATTCCCACAGTGCAATACTTTTTAGATGACCCCAAATCTAACCATTGGGTGTTACCAAAGCACAGATTACTTGATGAAAAATGGATAGATAATGTATGAATAATTCATAATGCTGCTAATCTACATGAAATAGGGAAACCCATAGCTTTTGTTTTTGGTGAATATATACTGAACAAAAATATAAACGCAACACGTTAAGTGTTGGTCCAATGTTTCATGAGCTGAAATAAAAGATCCCAGCAATTGAAATAGTTGCATGTTGCATTTTATATTTTTGTTCAGTGTAGCTAATGGGAGTTAGATGTTCAGAATCCTAATAGCAACAGCAGCTACAAACCCGTAGAGAGCTCTTGGGTGTCATAACGATCCTGTTGTTGCTGGCAGGGTTCTTCACTACATTAGCACTGAACTCCGTCTCAAAGATCTGTCTCAGCAGCTTGTTGGTGGTTGTGTCAATCAACTTGATAATGTCAGAGCTGAGAGTATCTCTGTTCTTCTCCAGGAATCCTGAATGAAAAACATACAGGATCAAATGGTGACTAAAAAACACTGTGATGATATATCTGATTGGTCGTATTCGTGTTTCAGCAAATCAACTAATATTTTATGTGATCCCTTTGTCTTCTGGTTACCTCTTGAGTCATAGCGAACAACCCCAGCAAAATGGCGGATCCCAAACTCCATGTCGTGGGTGTTCTTAGATGGAATGTAAATGTTGTCCTTGGCATGAACCTGGTTCATCTTGTTCAACATGGTGACATCTGTGCCCTGGAAGAAACATTCAAGGTCACAAACCTCACCAATTCAGACTGCCTCCACAGCATGGTTTATTAGAGGAATTTGAGATTGTTTACCTTGGGAAAGTGGCTCTCCTCATCAATCAGGGCCAACACATTGAGGGGCTTCCCAGCCAGGAGATCAAGGGTATGTGTGTTGTCGTTGAAGGTGATGTTCTTCCAGGCGATGTCCTCCTTAGTGTACTCCTCCTGCTCCAGCTTGAACACATGACGCACAAAGAACTGCTGCAGCTGCTCATTGGCAAAGTTGATGCACAGCTGTTCAAAGCTGTGAAAAAGCATGGGGAAAAGGGTTGTGTTATTGACCGGTTGGTTACATAGCATCAGGGAGAGAGCATGAAGGGCATACAAGGTTGTATTAAACTATCTGCATGTTGACTGTCACAAACAAAAGGGAAATTAGTATTTGATATTGACTGGAATACCTGTTTGAGGCAAAGTTCTCAAACCCAAAGATGTCCAGCAAGCCAATGGAGTTACGGACGTATTTGGGACCGTTGGTGGGAGTTTTATGGATGGCACTGTTGATTCTCCCAACGATCCAGATAAATAGTTTGCCATATATTGCCTGATGAAATCATGACACAAACAACACACATACCCTATAGAATATGGAATACAGAATATAGAATACAGAATATGGAATATAGAATATGGAATATAGAATATGGACCAAATCCTAGAGCGCTTAACTCAACAATCAAGTAAATCATGCACTGATGTCAATGGAAGACTTGAGTTACGTTCATTCGCCCACGGATCTTAAGGAAGGATTCAGGCCTATGTGCCTTGGTGAATGACTGTTGTCTTCCCTCTTGTTTCAGGAGGTAGCCTACTTTATATCGTGCCTTGGCACCTTCAAACAGGTGTGGCATCATTACCTTAACGAAGGCGTCCCTGCAGTCGGCTGCCTGTTCAGAGCTGAGGGGTTTGGACACTCGCTCTCTGTTGGTCATGAAGGAGCGGTAGGTCAGGCTCACACCCAGAGATACAGGCTGCACCTGTAAGGAACATACAGATATATATGTATAACATATAAATTGTACTGTATATTCATAATATGTTATCACAAAACATACCAGCAAAACATGTAATTGCCAAACAAACATGCCTACCTCCAGCAATTTGGCTGCAATTGTAAAGTGATCCGATGAACTGACATCAGAGCTCTCCATGTTATCCAAGATGGAGGCTGTAAGGCAAATAAACAAAATAAAACTTTCACATTAAAAATAAACTAACAACAACAAAAACACCTCAACATTCAAGTATTTCAGGATCTCAAGAAATGTGGCCATTTGGGTTGGAGGGGATTGGGTGATGACAATGCCCAGGTCATATTCCCCAAGAACATACACTCAGACATCAGGTCATAGACCCAGAGAGGACCCCACCTTCAAAGCTGACATTGCCCAAGTGGAGTAGTGCAGAAAGCAGCTTGAGGATCTCCCAGCAGTGGGTCTCGGTAAAGGTGAGGATCTTCAGGGCCGTGCGGATACGGGTGTAGTCCTTAGCATCGTCACGTCCATCGCAGACAATACAGTCACCCTATAGAACACAGGGTCTAAGGTTATACAGTTGCCTTCAAAAAGTATTCAATTCCCTTGACTTATTCCACATTTTGTTGTGTTACAGCCTGAATTTAAAATGGATTAAGTTGAGATTTTGTGTCACTGGCATACACACAATACCCCACAATGTCAAAGTAGAATTATGTTTTTATAATTTTTTACAAATTAATTAAAAATAAAAGCTGACATTTCTTGAGTCAATAACTATTCAACCCCTTTGTTATGGCAAGCCTAAATAAGTTCAGGAGTAAAAATATGCTTAACAAGTCACATAATAAGTTGCATGGACTCACTCTGTGGGCAATAATAGTGTTTAACATGATGTTTGAATGACTACCTCATCTCTGTACCCCACACATACAATTATCTGTAAGGTCCCTCAGTCGAGAAGGGAATTTCAAACACAGATTCAACCACAAAAACCAGGGAGGTTTTCCAATGCCTCGCAAAGAAGGTCACCTATTGGTAGATGGGTATAAAGTTATTAATTACATTTTGGATGGTGTATCAATACACACAGTCACTACAAAGATACAGGCGTCTATCCTAACTCAGTTGCTGGAGAGGAAGGAATCCGCTCAGGAATTCCACCATGAGGCCACTGGTGACTTTAAAACAGTTACAGAGTTTAATGGATGTCAACAACATTGTAGTTACTCCACAATACTAAGCTAAATGACAGAGCGAAAAGAAGGAAGCCTGTACAGAATAAAAGTATTCCAAAACATGCATCCTGTTTGCAATAAAGCAATGCAAAAAATGTGGCTAAGAAATTAACTTTATGTCTTGAACACAAAGAGTTATGTTAGGGGCAAATCCAACAAACCACATCACTACCACTCTTCATAATTTCAAGCATGGTGGTGGCTGCATCATGTTATGGGTATGCTTGTCATCGGCAAGGTCTAGGGAGTTTTTTTAAATAAAAAGAAACGGAATAGAGCTAAGCACAGGCAAAATCCTAGAGGAAAACCTGGTTCAGTCTGCTTTCCACCAGACACTGGGAGACAAATTCACCTTTCAGCAGGACAACAACCTAAAACACAAGTCCAAATATACACTGGAGTTGCTTACCAAGACAACATTAAATGTTCCTGAGTGGCCTAGTTACAGTTTTGACTTAAATCAGCTTGAAAATCTATGGCAAGACTTGAAGATGGCTGTCTTGTAATGATCAACAAAGTTTGAAGAATGTTTAAAATAATAATATGCAAATATTGTACAATCCAGGTGTGCAAAGCTCTTAGAGACTTACCCAGAAAGACTAAAAGCTGTAATCGCTGCCAGAGGTGATTCTAACATGTATTGACTCAGAGGTGTGAATATTTATGTTATTGAGATATTTCTGTATTTCATTTTCAATAAATTTGCCCACATTTCTAAAAACATATTTTCACTTTGTCAATATGGAGTATTGTGTGTAGATGGGTAAGAAAAACAACAACAATTTAATCCATTTTGAATTCAGGCTGTAACACAACAAAATGTGGAATAAGTCAAGGGGTATGAATACTTTCTGAAGGTACTGTAAATTAAAACTAGACGTTGAACTGACGTCTGTGCCCAGTGGACAATTACTTAGTTGTACCCAGTAAAAATGTAATGTATTAATGAGGTAGATGTATAAATGGGAGTAAGTGGTCATGTTTTAGCAGTCTAGTGCTATTACCCTCTTGAGGTAGCTGAATTCAGAGGCATCTCCCAAACACAGATTTGTTTTCTGTTCTGTTGTCACCCCCGCTAACATGCAGTAGAATATGTGGTAGTTCCGCTCCTCCATGGCCTAGGGTTCATTAGTAAAAATTAACAGTAGTGTTACATATATCAATATATCAAAATCTCATTAATTAAACCTTTTTGCCTACAATGGATTTTGTCCTCTTCCAAGTACGAACACACGTAAATTAGACTTAAATTAGACAAACCTGTTGTTTACCAGAGATAGTTGAGATGGTTTTGGAATCAATTCACTTTATGAAGCAATTAGCTATGACATTTCGTCATGTTCTGCATGTTATTATAAACTGGGTGGTTCGAGCCCTGAATGCTGATTGGCTGACAGCCGTGGTATATCAGACCGTATACCACGGGTATGACAAAACATTTATTTTTACTGCTCTAATTACGTTGGTAAACAGTTTATAATAGCAATAAGGCACCTCAGGAGTTTGTGAGATATGGCCAATATACCACAGCTAAGGGCTGTGTCCAGGCACCACCACCCCCCCCCCCCCCCTCCCCGGGCCTTATTGCTTAATTAAAAGATACTGCCTTTGCTGCCCCACCTGATGGCAGACACGAGACTTCTCCAGTAAGTACTGTTCCAGGCGAGCCCCTTCGATGACGCCATCTTTGTTGAAGAAGATTTCCACGTATTTCCCAAAGCGACTGGAGTTGTCATTGCGAATTGTTTTGGCATTCCCAAATGCTGGGGGGGATGCAGGAATAGGAAGGTTGTCATGAGTAACAACAATTACGATAGTGTGTGTGCATGTGTAGAAACACAGATCCCTCTTACTCTCATAGACATGTATGTGTGTACATGTGTCTGTGTGTGTGTCCATGTGTGTGTCCGTGTGAGAGAGAGAGAGAGAGAGAGAGAGAGAGAGAGACAGAGAGAGAGACAGAGAGAGAGAGAGAGAGAGACAAAGAGAGAGAGAGAGACAAAGAGAGAGAGAGAGACAAAGAGAGAGAGAGAGAGAGACAAAGAGAGAGAGAGAGAGAGAGAGAGAGAGAGAGAGAGAGAGAGAGAGAGAGAGAGAGAGAGAGAGAGAGAGAGAGAGGAGAGAGAGACAGAGACAAAGAGAGAGGAAGATAGACGTACCGTAGAGAAAAATATCTTAATCAGTAAAGAGCCTACCTTCTAGTATAGGGTTAGCCTCCAATATCTGCTGCTCTATCCAGGAATGCTGTCCACTTACTGCAGCCAGGAACTGAAGGACCAGCTTGGTATTCTCAGTCTTCCCTGCACCAGACTCCCCACTGACAGAAAAAAGAGAGAGACAGTCCATCAGTTCTTGGATTTCAGGTGTAAATCCAGTGTAAATGTCAATGTAAAGAGTAGGACTGAACCCCTCCAAACAGCATCTTCAAACATATTCTGCTTTGGTTTCCTAATGCTCAACGGAATGACTTGGGTGTCTGACAAGTGGAATGCTGCCAGTCTAACCTGATGATACAGCACTGGTTTCGGTTGTGACGGCGCATGTTGAAGTAGCAGGTATCTGCGATGGCAAAGACGTGCGGGGGCAGCTCGCCCAGCCTACGCCCGTGGTACAGCCTCACCTGGTCGGCTGTGTAGATAGGAAGCTCCTGGTAAGGGTTGACTGCCACCAGCACAGAACCTATGTAGGTCTGGGCACAAGACATTAACAGAGGTTTAGGCTTGTGCAGCCCACTTTTTTGGGGGGCACCACATCAATAATTCTGTGAACGTCTTTCATACATTTTTCATATTTCTTCTGCTTGTTTTCAACATAAACAAAATAGTCCAACATCCATAGCATAGAAAGGGTCTGAATGTACAGCAAGCATGTGTAGGAGCGGTGATGGGTGTGTTGGTACGGAGATGGGTTACACCAATATGTTAGCTTCAAAAGATTCAGAACATCAAGACCAAACCTTTTATCTTACACCAAGCATTATGGGTAGTGTAGTACAATAGGGGACTCACATAGATGACGCCTTGCCTGTGTCGGACCAGCAGGTTCCTGAGGAGCCCGGCCTCGTTGAGGTCCCCCAGGCGGATCATGTCATCCACCCCCTCCACCGAGGTGGGGTGCATCACCCTGATGGAGTCCTCCTCCTTCTGGGAGAGCTTGTATTCCTGGGAACGATCCAGGGAAAATACACAGAACTTTAGGTACAGATTGACCCATTGACATCAATATTGGATTTGTTAGACATCTTCAGTTACATGACGTCACTTTGTGTGGTCTGAAGGTCTGAAAACGTTGTTTTTGTTTTTAAACTGTCCCTTTACATTTTTGGTTATGGCATTAAATTATTTTATAATCGAGCAATGCAGAATGCAAGATCTTTGTCCATGGAAGTATGATAAACAACATTCTAGAGTAGCAGTGCAGAATGAAAGATCATTGTCCATGGAAGTATGATAAACAATGTTCGAGAGTAGCAGTGCAGAATGCAAGATCATTGTCCATGGAAGTATGATAAATAACGTTCTAGAGTAGCAGTGCAGAATGGAAAGGTACAGTAAAAAGACAATGATAAACAAATGTTGTTAACGTTCTAGACCCACCAGTTGACAATCACTGTTGTTCTAGAGTATGTAACTTGTAAATTAGATAGTAGTTCCATAGATTATTCCCTAAAGTGATTGACTTAGATCTTGAACTAATTTGAGACCAACAGTACATAAAAAAACAGACACACAATTCAATACAATACAAGTATAATGAAGTGCCACGGTCACCTTTCCTTCATCGTCCACCAGCAGATGGTGTCCAGTGTCGGTCACTTTGACCCGGGCTCCGATGGGCACCCCGATAGCAGAGTCCACCCACACCCACTCACCCTGGGAGCAAGAAGCTCAGTAGGTCAGGGCCATACATTTGAAAGAACGCAGCTTTCACCCTTACATTCAAAAGCTTGTTATTCAATTAAAGAAAGGATAGCGTGCACATACCTATTGCAAGAAACTCCATCACACTGGTGACCTTAGGTTCATTGTGTAAGATCCAATAAATTGTTTGTGGAGCATCTAAGATTGCCAGTGTGCTAAAGCTTACAATTCAACATAGGTATTTTATGGCCCAGATCTGTTTATGCTGTCTTGCCAACTCCTTCAGGCATGACAATGACCATAGCAGATGACTATACAGTGCAAACAGATTTGATACCGGACTAGGGATTTTTCCATTTCAAAACATTTCCTGAATTGAATGGCAATGGCATTGTCCCCAAACCCTAGATCAATCACATTCAGACATAATGTCAGAGACAATTCCTATTCTGGTATCAAATTTGTTTGCCCTGTATAGCCATCTCCTATGGTCATAGTCATGCCCAAATGAGTTGGAATGACTAGGCAATGGAAGTGCTGATCACGTAACAGTATTCTATTTCAAAAACCTTTATAACCAAAGCACGGCATTCGGGATACATTGATCAAATAGTCAACATAGATCATATTGAGGAGCTTACCTTTCTTAACATCACCATGATAGAACCCTCCTATTTCCTAAATTCAAGAAACAAGAGAGACACAAGTCATGCATTTTCTAAATAAATATCTGTGGATTATAACATCACCAGGAGATACTGTGATCTCAATGCCTGTGATCTCAATTTTGTAAGAAAAGATTCCAATGGTGATTATATGGTGACAATGGTGCTCAATATCTACAATCATCCATTCAAACAACATACTATACATGACCAACAATAGAGAACTGAAGGCCTTCTATCGCCTTCTAGAAGGACGACTGAAATGACTGCACATCGTTACTCTAAACCGTTCAGTTTACCCACTGGGCACACACTGGTTGAAGCAACATTGTTTTCACGTCATTTCAATTAAATGACATTGAACCAATGTGGAATAGATGTTGAACTGACATCTGTGCCCAGTGGGTAATGACTATTGCCACATTTCATAACCCCACAAAAAATACCACAAAAACACATATCGGCCAACTTACTCGTAGCAACTCAGGTGATGGTCCTCATTGATATCCCAGTTCTTTAGTCCTGTACAGTAGTTGTGGGGCTCATATGTTTGTTAGATGATGTTAACATAATCCTACCAGGATAGCACAAGGAACAAGGAAACGGCTGACACTCCTGGCCCTGACACATCTCCTTTATGGCACTTTGACTTTGATCTGTCATGCTGCAGACTGACTGCTCAAGAAGACCGGAGCAAAGTCGGCTCCTACCCACTCACTCTCCTAGTGCGTTTGGACCAATACGCCCTTCAATTCTGGGCCTGCTTCCAGAAGCTAACCAGTAATTGTGAAAACACCTAAATAATGAATTTCAAAATCTACAAATTGAATTACAGAACATGTTAGATAGAGTTTATGAGCTAGGAGCTCTTATGACGCTATAGTAGTGCTCTTTGGACCTGTGTGTTAATGGCAGTAGACACTGGTCTGGTTTCTGTATTGATACTAAATCAAATCAAATGTTATTGGTTGCATACACATATTTAGTGGATGTTGCTGTCGTTAGATGGCGCCGATGGCTCCATGAACATGGCGACCTTGTCTATCGGCGCCATCTTATGACAGTAATAAAGTACTAAATCACTGAGATAGTCATCTTATACAGTACTTGGAGATTGACCCCACCGGAAACCACACCTGCATCACACTGATAATGGTTAGTCAAGGAATTCCCTCTAGTTCAATAAGACCAGTGGTGGAAAAAGTACTAAATTGTCATACTTGAGTAAAAGTAGAGATACCTTAATAGAAAATGACTCAAGTAAAAGTGAAAGTTACCCAGTAAAATACTACTTGAGTAAAAGTCTAAAAGTATTTGGTTTTAAATATACGTAAGTCTCAAAAGTAAATGGAATTGCTAAAATGTACTTAAGTATCAAAAGTAAAAGTATAAACAATTTTAAATTCCTTATAATAAGCAAACCAGACGTCACCATTTTCTTTGTTTTATTTATTGGCGGATAGCCAGGGGAACACTCCAACACTCAGACATAATTTACAAATGAAGCATTTGTGTTTAGTGAGCGCCAGATCAGAGGCAGTAGGGATGACCAGGGATGTTCTCTTGATAAGTGTGTGAATTGGACCATTTTCATGTCAAAATGTAATGAGTACTTTTGGGTGTCAGGGAAAATGTATGGAGTAAAAAGTACATTATTTTCTTTAGGAATGTGGTGAAGTAAATGTAAAAGTAGTCAAAAATATAAAGAGTAAAGTACAGATACCCCAAAAAACTACTTAAGTAGTACTTTAAAGTTTTTTTACTTAAGTACTTTACACCACTGAATAAGATGTGTGCATCACCTCACACACACCGACAGTCATTAGCTGAAAAATAATAAGACATTTGTTTCCTACAATCAGTTCTATTCAAAAAGCACTTTGTATTTTCTCACCGAGCTACAACAAACTACACCGGACTGACAATTGAACCCTGTGGTGCCCCGGAACAAGTATTGTTTGCCGATGATTGTAAAATAGTAATTATTTATTCACTAAACAGAAATTATATGAAACAAATGGGGTCCTGATTAAGGGACAATTTCCTTGTTGAATTAGAAGAAGAAGAAAAAAATCAGTTCTAAACAGCTGATGGCGCACCATATTACATTCAAAATTTATATAACCAATTCAGATAAGGAAATCATAAAGGCATATCAATTTCTTGGATTGCTTATTGGAAACCATGCCAATCCAAAGAGGGAGTGACGCAAACAACTCCCTGTGCCTCTAGTCACTGCCATTACCTTATTTGGTTTGCTGTAACATGGGTTTATGTAAGGTAAAGTAAGCTATGGTATTTACTGTATGTTAGCAATGATATCAGCTGGGTAAAGGACCTGGGCCCAGATTCACAAAACCTTCTTAAGAAGAAATTTCTTCTTAACTGCCATTTTTTCCTTAACTATAGATTTAAGAAGAAAGTTAAGCAAGTTGCTATTCCTCAAAAAGGTTATTGGAAATTTTATTGCGCTATTTCTTATGTTTCTCCTTAAGCAAAAAGTTAAGATGAAATTAGATTCTTGAAAATAAAGTACTTGGAAATGTTCTTAATTCCAAGATAGCTAAACCTTTGTCTTAAACTCAGGGCAGTGAGAGAAAAAGCTCATAAAAGCAATTGAACATGTTTAATTCACTCACAAACTTCATCTGAAAGTTTCAGTATTGATTATTTTAAACCCAAGAACATGTTTTAGAACAGTAATCTCAGTAAGAAATATGCTAACATGATTGCCATTGCTAGATAGATAGATAGCTAAAACGGTTGCTTAGCAACAAACATCTTAAGAATCTGGGCCCTGGGCAAAACAAAAACACTTCTTACACAAAAACGTAAGAAGCTTCTTAAGGAAAAAAATAAGAAGTTCATAAGATAGTTTGTAAGTGCAATTCCTCAACAATATATTCAGATTTAATGATTTTCTTTCGAACTTCTCAAATAGCTTCTTACTAATCTTCTTAAGATATTTGATGCTAGGCAACCGATTTAGCTACAATTGAAGTCGGAAGTTTACATACACCTTAGTAAAATACATTTAAACTCAGTTTTTCACAATTCCTGACATTTAATCCTAGTACAAATTCCCTGTCTTAGGTCAGCTAGGATCACCACTTTATTTTAAGAATGTGAAATGTCAGAATAATAGTAGAGAGAATGATTTATTTCAGCTTTTATTTCTTTCATCACATTCCCAGTGGGTCAGATGTTTACATACACTCAATTAGTATTTGGTAGCATTGCCTTTAAATTGTTTAACTTGGGTCAAACATTTCGGATAGCCTTCCACAAGCTTCCCACAATAAATTGGGTGAATTTTGGCCCATTCCTCCTGACAGAGCTGGTGTAACTGAGTCAGGTTTGTAGGCCTCCTTGCTCGCACACGCTTTTCAGTTCTGCCCACACATTTTCTGTAGGATTGAGGTCAAGGCTTTGTGATGGCCACTCCAATACCTTGACTTTGTTGTCCTTAAGCCATTTTGCCACAACTTTGGAAGTATGCTTGGGGTCATTGTCCATTTGGAAGACCCATTTGCGACCAAGGTTTAACTTCCTGACTGGTGTCTTGAGATGTTGCTTCAATATATCCACATAATTTTCCTTCCTTATGATGCCATCTATTTTGTGAAGTGCACCAGTCCCTCCTGCAGCAAAGCAACCCCACAGCATGATGCTGCCACCCCTGTGCGTCACGGTTGGGATGGTGTTCTTCGGCTTGCAAGCAACCCACTTTTTCCTCCAAACATAACTTTTATTTATTTGTATTTTTATTTCACCTTTATTTAACCAGGTAAACCAGTTGAGAACAAGTTCTCATTTACAACTGCGACCTGGCCAAGATAAAGCAAAGCAGTGCGATAAAAACAACAATACAGAGTTACATATGGGGTAAAACAAAACATAAAGTCAAAAAATACAACAGAAATACATATAATATACAGTGTGTGCAAATTTAGCAAGTTATGGAGGTAAGGCAATAAAATAGGCTATAGTGCAAAAAAAAAAAAAAAATTACAATTAGTATTAACACTGGACTGATAGATGTGCAAGAGATGATGTGCAAATAGAGATACTGGGGTACAAATGAGCAAAATAAATAACAATATAGGAATGAGGTAGTTGGGCGGGCTAATTTCAGATGGGCTGTGTACAGGTGCAGTGATCGGTAAGGTGCTCTGACAACTGATGCTTAAAGTTAGTGAGGGAGATAAGTGTCTCCAGCTTCAGAGATTTTTGCAATTTGTTCCAGTCATTTGCAGCAGAGAACTGGAAGGAATTGCGGCCAAAGGAGGTGTTGGCTTTGGGGATGACCAGTGAGATATACCCGCTGGAGCGCAGACTACGGGTGGG